TTTTAATATTATTACAAGTAAGTCTTTATTCACGCTAAAAAAGAACACTCTCCATGTTCATGTCCCTAATCCTAGATATTTTTTTTTGTGCTGTAGCTTGTAAACCATGTCTACTTCTCTCCGGACGGTCTGTGGATCGCGAGTGCCTCCTTTGACAAGTCGGTTAAATTATGGAACGGAGTCACTGGAAAATTCGTGGCTGCCTTCCGTGGTCATGTGGGGCCAGTTTATCAAATAAGGTTACATTTATTTCGAGTTTTTTACTTGTTCATTATCCGTACTAAGGCTGCGCATCTGAATCGGCACATTTTGCTGCAGTTGGTCGGCTGACAGTAGGCTGCTTTTGAGTGGAAGCAAAGATTCGACCTTGAAGGTATGTTTTTCTCATTAGACGTTTAAAATGGCCTCTCGGACAAATTTACCTCAAAAACTGTTAATCAACTGGCGTTTTTTAAACAGGTGTGGGATATTCGGACTCAGAAGTTGAAACAAGATCTTCCGGGGCATGCAGATGAAGTAAGGCCTCCAACAACACCCAACCCCAATGAGAGAACTTGTTTCGGTTTTTGAGAGAAAATTCGATACTGTCCACAGGGGCAGAATCGAAATTTACGGTTCGTTTTTTCCCATTCTTTTTCACATATTCTTATTCCAATTTGTTTTGTCTTTAGGTATTTGCAGTTGATTGGAGCCCAGATGGTGAGAAAGTAGCATCTGGAGGCAAGGATAAAGTTTTGAAGTTATGGATGGGATAAAGGAAATCTTGGGCACTTGAACGTGTTCGACTCTTTTTGCACAGCTTACGGTATTATATCAATTGTTCGCACTGAGATGGATATATGCCGTGCAATATGAAATATTGTGTCTGCAAGTGTTTCTTTTATATTATATTTATTGCGAATTGAAAAATCGAAAGTATCATCTGGGTATTTTCAGCTATATATATCAATCCTTTAGATCAGTCGATTCAGTCATTAAACGATAAAGCGCATTTTACACCTGCATAGATTACTAATACTACACCTATGAGTGGCACAAACAAACAAGTCTTTCAGAAAATTGTATATATGCCCCGGTTCACATTCTTTTCTCCATTATGCAGTGGTCACATTGGGGCTGCATTAGTGCTGCAAACGAACCGAAACGAAAGCTCGTTCGAGCTTGTTTAGGGCCCGTTCGTTTAATGATCGAGCCAAGCTCGAACATGTAATTTGACTCGTTTATTATTTGCACAAACACGTTAGCGAAAATAAACGAGTGTTCGTGAACAACAATATTTTCAATAATGATAATAATAATAATAATAATAATAATAATAATAATAATAATAATAATAATAATAATAATAATAATAATAATAATAAGAATTTCTTCAGTTTTCATAATCCAACAATTCGAGTTAATCGAACGTTCGAAAAGTTCAAATAATTTCGATTAGCTAAACTAGCAAAACACGAAAAATTAACTTAACGAATGAAAACGAACATAAATGTAAGCTCGACTAGTAAACGGACGAACTCGAACAGGCTCGAATATTAGTCAAACTCGAGCTCGAACAGCCTGAGCTCGGTTCGGTTCGTTTGCAGCATTAGGCTGCACCACGGTAGTTGGTTCGGGTTGAAGGCGGAGCCAGAATTAAAAAAAAAAAAATATATTAAAAAATTATAAATAAGGTGTTTTTATTAGTGTACTTTAAGTCCAGATGTGAGATTTGGAGTGAGATTTTGTATATGGTTTTTTTCTTTCGAAGTTTCAATAAATCTTAAAAAGTCTTAACAAATTCTAATTTTTAATAAGTTAAGTAACTCGGGATTTTATAAAACTTTTTAAATTCTCAAATGAGTAACTCGATACTTTTAAAAAATCTTAAAAAGTTTTAATTAAATACACCAGAATTTTAAAAGTTTTAAAAAGTCTTTAGAAATCTCAAACACACCCCTTAAGAATTTTAAATTGCAAAGGCTATAAATTTATTATTCATTTTTAATGATCATGTTAAATATTTTTTTAAATAACATTGTAAAATGATTTGTGTAAACCTACTCAATCTATTGAAGTTACTTTCAACTATTCAAAGTAAAATTTTGTTCTTCATAGAAAAAGAACAAGTATTTGAAGAAACTAGCTGTTAACATAAATAATCATAAGATCTATTAGAAGTTCCGCTCCCATTCTACATAAGGAAAACACTGTTTTAAGTTGTTAAAAGGAAAAAAATCTTAAAACATATAAATAATTAAAAAAGAAAAAAAAATGGATTACCATATATATGGATTATTAATAGTCTTGTTTATAAATATTTTTAATTCAAATCAACGGTTAAATTTTCTACTTATGTTCATAAAATAAGCCGATAAGAGCTCCATACCTGAAAAATGAAACAATAAAATAATTAAAAATAACAATAAAATAATTAAAAATAGAACAAGGTGATAAAGAAAAAAAATGAAATAACCAAATAAGTAAGGTGAAAGAAAAAATTGAAATTCAAGAAGCAATTCCCAAAGTATTGATTTTCTATTAAACCTGTCAATTTAATATCCATGAGACTCATATGAGAATTTGAAAAATCAATTCCCACAGTATTGATTTTCTATTAAACCTGTTAATTTAATATCGATGAGACTAGTATGAGAATTTGAATTTAATATCCATGAGACTCGTATGAGAATTTGAAAAATCATATTGATTTTCTATTAAATCGATGAGACTAGTATGAGAATTTGAATTGACTTGATAATTTAATTGAATTGGCAGAATAAAATCAAGGACTATCTTTTAAAGTTTTCATGTAAATTGTTTAGATAATTATCTTTAAATAAATGATACAAAAACTCGATAAAAAGTATTTAGGTCACTTATTATACAAACTAAAATATTTTTCATATGTTCTTTTATATATAATGATACATATTAATATTTTTTTTTGTTTATTTGTACCGTTGATGTTTTTTAAGATTAATAAACAACCTTTGATAAAATTTAATACATACCATTCAAGAATAACATATAATATTTTAGATATTTTTTAACATGTTGACTAAATTTATGTGACTTTACATAATATATATATATTTAAAGGCTAGGAATTTACTTAAAAGAGTAAGGTGAATAAAATTATTTTGAAATATTTCTATTCTAAACATTTTTTAAAAAGTTTTCAGTGAGAGTTAGGGAAAAAAATTATTCTTACACATCACATTAACTTTAATTTACTATTCATAAACTAACATAATTTTAACGGAAAAATTGCACTATTAGTCCATTAACTATACTGTCTTTGCACTTTTGTCATTTAATTGTTTTTGGTTTACTTTTAGTACACTATTTTTATTTTTTTTTTTGCAATTTTAGTCCAAATCGACATTTCGGTGCTCATTTTTGCCGGA